AGACCCTAAACCCTAAACCCAGAATCCCTAAACGCTCAGTCCCTACAGCGGGTCCTGCTTCATCCCTAAACCGTCAAAAGCACCCTAAAAAGCACCCTAAACCCTCAAATGTAGGTACAAAGCTGGCCCAGCACCTACAACAGGCCATTATTCTACATACTTCTGGGGTCCAGGTAAACCTTCAACCATAAATCCGAAAAGCCCTCACCACTGGATTGGGTTTTTTCGGGTATCAGGGCTTCGGGTCCTAAGCCCTAAAATCCTTGTAGCTCCTTTTTTTCGGGTTACCTTATAGGATGCCAGATATATGATGGGTTAAACCCAGAAAAGGAGCTACAATGGAGACTATACTTAGGCTTCGAAGCCCTGCATCCTAAATTTTCGAGCTGCTGCTGCTGCGCCCTCAACCATCCCGCAAAGCACAACAACTACGCCTTAATACCCTAAACAACCCTGAAACCCTCGATCCTTAACCCCGGGGTAAGTAGGGCTTCGAGTTGGGATGTTCAGGGCTTCAGGTTTTAGGGCTTTTAAGGGCTTATAGGGTTTCAGGCTAAGGGCCCGCAGCCCTACACCCTCCAAGGGCCTGCTGCGCCATGGCTACTTCTGATTCCCGCTCGACCCAGCGATGAGACAACTCTGTGGTCAAGGTTTTGGAAACCCGCGCTGATCAGCCGAGAAAGCAGCGAGACGAGAGCTGGTAGGGCTTGAAATGAGTTCCAGAGAGTTTCTAGAAGGGCACTCTGAAGAAGGGCGCTTTGAAGGGCTCTTTAAGGGGCTTGGGTTTATACTTTAAGAATACTCTCTATGTTTAAGGGCTAGGATTAGTGGGGGCTTAGCATTTCGGGTTTAGGAGTGCTGGAGCTTCCTGAGGCTTATTCAAAACGCATAGTTGCTTCACCCTAAGTAATGCTTAGGGCTTAGGGTTTAGGGTTTGGGGCTTGCGGTTTCGGAATCTTTGAACAAACTACATACAAGGACCCTACTATAAACGCCAAGTTCCCTGTGGCGATGGATTCAAGTCCCCGCCGCAAAGATGTGGATTTGGTGGTTTGACTTTGGCGTGGGGATTTATTGCTGGCCAGGCTTTCGTTTCTGTTTTCGGTATGCTGCAGGCGGGCGTGGAGGGGTTTACAGGGTTTCTAAATTAGGGTCCCTTGTTAGGTCCACAATATAGTACGGCACCCTTATAAAAAAAAGGACCCTAAAAGGGACCCTAATTTAGAGAACTACCCATGTGACTTTATGTGTGGTTTGAGGGTCAGAAGAGGGCTGCAGACATGTACCGCCACTTGAGGATGTGCATTTGTCGGTTTTGATCCTTCAAACACAACTCTACGACTAAAATTACGTGATTGACCCTGTAATAAAGAACGAAAAACCCGCAAACGACAGCTAACTTATACCCTAAACCCTAAACCCTAAACAGCTAACTTATACCCTAAACCCTAAACAGCTAACTTATACCCTAAACCCTAAACCCTAAACCCCGAGGTCCCATCATCCTCCAAGCATGCTCTTCATCTTTACGAAAGTTCTCACGGCTGGGATTGCTCCTCTTCCAAGGTACCCTTGACAGATGCACTTCTACCGTAAGGTTCTGGGGGCAAACCTTTAGAGACTAGAGCTGGTTCATTCGGTGTTATTGGGTGTTTAACGCTGCATCTTGCCTCCATTCTGTGCATTGAATCGAGTCTAGTCACTACGAGCCCCGAAGCCTGAACCACAAACCCCAAACTGAACCCCTAAATCCTGAACCCTAAACCTTAAACTCTAAAACAAAAATCCTAAACCCTGAACCCTAAACCCTGAACTTGGAGACCGCTTGCGGCACTGCATCCCACCTGCAAGGGCCTTGTCTTCGTGGAAGTTGGCCTTCTTTGCTTTAGGGCAGTATAGGGCTTAGGGTTTAGGGTTCAGGGTTCAGGGTTTACCTGAAACCCAAAGAACCTACCTTTTCAAGACAATAAGGAACCCTGAAATATCGGCTTCTTGGGTACCAGGTAGGGCTCAAGCATCGGGTGTCAGGTTCTGGGTTGCGGTTCTCTGAAGGACTCGGACAGTTGTCACATCCTGATCCCTTTGGGGGTACCCTATACAAGTACTACTCTATATATAGCCAGCACCTCATAATATACCCAAGAGGGGTCCTAGTTTTGGTTTAAGGGATTCACCTAAACCCTAAGCCCTTATGGATCTGCTACTTAGTGTACCTTGGGGTTTCAGGTATCCCTTTTCGGGGGCGGGGGGGTGCGTTTGTAGGGCTCACTGTCCTAACTTAACAACGCCAAGTCAGCTGGTCAGCTTCATCGCACTACTTCTTCTGCAGCGACGCTCTGGGTTTCCTGTTGAGAATCATGCCTCTGCTGCTGGCTTCTAAACGACAGATCAATCCCTCGTGACGCTACACCTACAACCCTCTCTCTCTGTCTTTCAGGCCTGTGGCTTTCTGTTCTCAGGATTTAGGGTTTAGGGTCTGGGTTTAGGGTTGTCTCGTCTGCGCATAACTAGTAGGTAGGTAGTCTAGCACCTCCCAGCTCGGCGAAAACACCAAGCACTCCATAGCTGAACCCTGAACTCTGAACCCCCGAAACCCTGAAGCCTAACCCCTGAACCCTAAA